CTCAAGTGGTAGAGTGCTAGCCTTGAGCTGAAGAGCTGAGGGACAGCGCCCAGGCCCAGAGTTCAGGCCCCACGACCGGACCCCCCCCCCAAAAAAAAAAAAGTTTTTTTTTTAATGAAGGTGATTAAATAATGTTATTTTATACACAGTAACATGCATCTGGCTCAGCTCCTCCAGTTACCTGTAAAAATAAATTAATCAGAACTGCTTGACACCTTCCTGAATAAGACTTAGTAGAAGCCAGTATGATTCACTTCATCCACAGCTTTTCTAAAGTATCTTCAAAGGTAAGTTTATTCAGCAAATACTGAACACTTGACAAAAAACTACAATGGCTAGAGCAGTAGCAGAAAGAAAAAATAATTTTTTTTCAAGCCCCAGTCTTGGGGCTTGAGGCCAGGGTCTGGGCACTGTCCATAAACTCCTTTTGCTTAAGTCTACAACTCTTCCCCTTGAGCCACAGCACCACTTCTGGCTTTATCTTCATCTTCATGAATTCAAGTGAAAGAGAGAGGATTGGCTAAAATACAAATAAGTAAAATATTTAGTTTATCAAGTGGTAAAAACAATGGAGAATTATGAAGCGTGGAAGGGAACATAAGTATCAAGAATAGCTTTATGATTATATTTTAGTGGGTCAGGGGGATCTTCCAGGCTGAAGAAAGAACATTCCAAATGGAAACAAGAGAAAATCCCCACAATGATTCCTAGCATTGTTAGTGAAGACTCCTCCAAGGTTCCTAAAAAACTTCCATTTTAAAGCCGGGCACTGATGGTTCACGCCTGTAATCCTACTCAGGAGGCTGAGATCTGAAGATCACAGTTCAAAGCCAGCCCAGGCAGGAAAGACCTTGAGACTTCTATCTCCAGTAAACCACCAAAAAACCGCAAGTGGCACTGTGGCTCAAGCGGTAGAGTGCTAACCTTGAGCTGAAGAGCTGAGGGACAGCGCCCAGGCCCCAGACAGAGTTCAAGCCCCACGACTGACAAAACAAAAAACAAACAAAAAAAACTTCCATTTTAAAAAATTTCAGGGCTAGGAATGTGGTAGAGTGCTTGCCTTAGCATGCATGAAACCCTGGATTCAGTTCCACAGTACCACATAAACAGAAAAGTTTGGAAGTAGCACTGTGGTTCCAGTGGTACAGTGCTAGCCTTGAGCAAAAGAAACTCAGGGACAATGGCTAGGGCCAGAGTTCAAGCCCCAAGACTGGCCAAAAAGCTCAGGGACAATGGGTAGGCCCAGAGTTTAAGCCCCAAGACTGGCCAAAAAAAAAAGCTGGGAATGTGGCTTAGTGGTAGAGTGTCTAGCATGCATGAAGCCCTGGGTTCAATACCTCAGTACCACATAAACAGGAAAAGCTAGACGTGGCTCAAGTGGCAGAGTGCTAGTGTCAAGCAAAAAGAAGTTCAGGGACACTGCCTATGCCCTGAGCTCAAGTCCCAGGACTGGCAAAAGGAAAAAAAAAAAAAAATTCATGTAGGGCTGGAAATGTGGCTTAGAGGTAGAGTGGTAGAGTGCTTGCCTAGTATGCATGAAGCCCTGGGTTCAATTTCCTCAATACCACATAAACAGAAAAGGCTGAAAGTGGTGCTGTGGCTTAAGTGGTAGAATGCTAGCCTTGAGCCAAATAAGCTCAGGGACAGTGCCCAGGCCTGAGTCCTAGCCCCAGGACTGGGGGGAAAAAATCAACATAATTTTAGTTATTCTGCTTAGTTGAAGTCTAGCCTCTGCTCACTTATGCACAGAATGAGAAAAGAGTTATTAAAGTCAAAGAAAGAAAATATATGGTGCTCTCAAGTCTTCTAAGACAAAGACAATTTTAGTTCACTATGAGAAGAATTAGAATGGAAGTTTAAACAATATTTACTACAGGATTCAAGAAAGCTTGCAGGGGAAGTGGGGCTGTGACTCAAGTGGTAGAGCACTAGCCTTGAGCTGAAGAGCTCAGGGACAGCACCTAAGCCCTGAGTTTAAGACCTACAGCCGACCAAAAAGAAAGATAGCTTTCCTCGTGCTGGTGGCTAAGGCCTGTAATCCTAACTACTCAAAAGGCTAAGATTTGAGAATTGAGGTTCAAAGCCAGCCCGGGCAGGAAAGTCCATGAGACTCTTACTTCCAGTTAACCACCAGAAAATCGAAAGTGGCACTGTGGTTCAAGTGGAAGAGCGCTTACCTTGAGCTGAAGAGCTGAGGGACAGTGCCCAGGCCTAGAGAGAGTTCAAGCCCCATGACCAAAAAAAAAAAAAAGGGCTGGGAAGGTGGCTCAGTGGTAGAGCAATTGCCTTGCATACCTGAGGCCCTGGGTTCGATTCC